TTGTGTATTTATGATACTAAAGAGATAGAGAATCAATAACTTACAAATTCAACTTAGGAGCTATAGTTTGTTGAATTATCAAACTAGATGTTATAATTATTATTACCTTCTAGACAATGTAATAGAAATAAAGATTTTCAAGAATAATATATATTTTTTTAAATTAATAGTGAAATACAATGTATTTGGTATCATGACCTTAGAAGAAATTTTAATGTTTGGTGATTTTATTGAAAGTTGAAACCACACATTATTATTTTCTTAAATGTTTTATTTGAAGAAAGTTATTAATGCCTCAACAATGATCAAATATCAAGGTAGTCTTTTCATCCTAATATAAAATATTATTCATGGCTAAGACAACCTACTAACTATCTATAAAAAAAAAAAAAAAAATCAAAGTATGTGGCAATACATTTTGTTGCATCTTAGGTATTATTAATATATAATTATTATTTTTTATAGAATTCTTTTTTAAAAAAAGAAGTAATATCATCAATATACATATTTTTTTAGAACAAAGAAAATAGATAGAAATAAATAGAAGTAATTAGATTTGATAATAGCTTGTAATGAAGCTTCTTAAAAACTTCATAGAAGTTTGTTTTATATATGACATCTTACTTAAAAATTTAGTCAAGAAATGTCGTAATGGTGCAACGTTCTATATTGCATTAAGATCTTGTAGTCTAAATTAACAATTTGAACAAAAAAATAATGTATTATGAGCTTTTTATATTAAAAAGCTGAAAAAAATTAATAGAAGTTTAAGATTCAAGTAATTTTAAGTTGGCATTTAGTTCGTTGCAACTATATGAAGTAGGTCTTATAAGAATTCAATATTTCATCTAAAAGAGCACGTATGTAATAACTCAAAAACAACCTCTTATAAGCTTAAGATAGAAAGTAATGCTATATCTATGGATGTAAGATGAACCACTTAATTTTTGATCTTGTTGCATTTAATTAATAGTGATCATGAAAATATTGAGGAAAATATATATGCATAGGTGAAAGTACTTCAATGAGATAACTTTATTCGTATTTATAGATAATTGGTATATTAAAAACTTAGCCAACAAGTTAACTACTTATAGTAGAAGTTTGTCATGTGGCATAAATGTGAGACTTCTCTTGTAAATTTAACACATATCTCATAAGTTGGACATGTATTAAGGGCTCTATAGAACATTGTCATGTAGTTCTTAGTTAGATAGTATATATAGATACAAGAGTGAAATCTTCTTTATTCTTATCAATGCTTTTATATTCTTTGATCTTGTTTCAACTCTATTTAGTATTCTTGTTGTTGGTAATAGCCATTCTAATTTTAATTTTATACAAACTTTGAATAAAAATCTATTCTTTTTTAATGAGATGAGAATATATTGAGGTTTAATTTTTTTTGTAATTTATGGCACTAAAATTTATAATATATAATTAAAATAAATTTAAAATATTAATTATTATATTTTATTATAAAAAAACTATTATAATTTTTTTCTAATTCGATTGGTTTTTAAAATGTATTTTTTTAAAATGTATTTTTTTAATATTTTTTTTTCTTAAATGTGATTAATATATACTTAAAAGATAATAATATTATAATATTAATCATTTGAATTTAAAATTATGTTTTATTATAAATTTTAGTTTAAATACCAAATTTTAACTTTATATTTTTTTAAAATGATTAAATTACTTAAAATAAATAGTAGAAAATAATATATATAATACAAGATAATTTTGTAAAAAAAATGTTTCTTTTAAAGAAGCAAAAGCTTATTATTGTGATGAATAATATTAAAAGAATCAAGTTTTTAATTTTTAAGTTGATATTGTATTTATTATTGAAATATATATATATATATATATATATCTATATATTATTGCTAGAGGTATTTTTTTAATTTATCTTTTATATATATATATATTTTATACAATCTATTTTTTTAATACTAGAAGATATGTTTTATATCAAAAATATTTAACTCCTTTTGGTATTTATTTTTTAAAAATGAGGCATATTCTTTAAATCCGTAAAAAAAAAATTGTGTGGTTATTCTATGTTTGAATTTTTTTTTAAGTAGATTAAAAGAATAAGTATTATATATTCTTTAAAGTGAATTAAGTTAGATCATTTAAAATAAATCTTTAGTCTTTTCTATATCTTTCATATATATATTTTCTTCTTAGAGATTTATGTAATTTTTGTTCGAACACTAATTCAAAAGTTGATATTTGTCTCTAATAGATATGAACTATTTTAATTAAAGTGCATTGACTAAGTAAAATTGACTTATTTGAGCCAAATCGAGCTGAATACAACTTTGCTTCATTAAATAAAATTTCTTTTCTACTATTTTTGAATAATATTTTAGAAAAGTATATAAGGAATATAGATGTTTAGAACAATTTGGATTACCTTAGTACAATTATTTTATATTTAGAGGTTTTTGATAAGACTTTATGCTCTTTGCATGAGATATAAAAGATTTCTTGGATATCTTTTGGTACACTATTTGAAATTCTTTGAACATAACTTATTAAGCTTGATATATTATATTATTTTTTATAGTATTTTTTTAACAAAAAATAAAAAAGAAAAAAAAATTAAAAATATATATATATAATTAAATATGTTTTAAAAATATTTTGATTTTAATTTTTTTAAATCAACTTGTATAAAAATATTTAAATATTATGAATTCATATAAATATTTTGTGTAATTTATAGTATATTTTTTTAAAATAAATTAAAAATATATAAAATTATTATTTTATTAATAACCAAATATATTTATATATATATAATTTATAATATATAAAAGGTTTATACTTCAAAAGAATGAAAGTTAAAATTAATTGATATGTATTATAAAATATTATATTTTACTATAGTTTTACTTTAAAAATTAATACAATTTCTAGTTTTGTGATAATTGTTGTAAAATAAGACTTTGTATATCATTTTATTAAGGATATAATTGTGATTGTGTTTTTCTAATATTTAATTAATTTATGTATGTAGTTTAAAAGATTAAAATTATAAATACCAATTTTATTAAATTAATTGTGTATAATTTGGACCTATTTTAGTTACTTATTAAATAAATAGTTCAGATGATTTTTCTCACAAATTAAACATGGATATGTGTATATAATTGTGAATGTATTTATAAAACCTAAATTATTATTATTTTTAAAATCATGATATATATATATATATATATATATTTTTTTTATTAACATGCTTTCTATTATGCATAAATAGACATGAGATACTTGTATAGAAATTTTAATATTATCAAGAAATAGAGTAGTAAAAATATGGCTTAGGTTACAAGCCCACCCCAAGTTGCTATACACACACCCATTATATCTATACACAACCCCAAAGTTTCTAATTGGCTCATACAGATCCCCTTTTCCTTGTCTCTACATGGGATCCTGTCCCTTCTTTCCCTCCCTTGCCCTGGTGCGTTTTCCTGTCAGGAAAAATTATACAACGGCAGTGTTGTGTGATGACGGGGACTGCGCTGTAGGTATTGGATGCTGGGCTTTGAAGAGGTAGGTTGCTAGACGTAATGTTATTTTATTGGAATGAGGTTGCTAGACGTAATGCTATTTTATTGGAATGAGGTTGCTAGACGTAATGCTATTTTATTGGAATGAGGTTGCTAGACGTAATGCTATTTTATTGGAATGAGGTTGCTAGACGTAATGCTATTTTATTGGAATGAGGTTGCTAGACGTAATGCTATTTTATTGGAATGAGGTTGCTAGACGTAATGCTATTTTATTGGAATGAGGTTGCTAGACGTAATGCTATTTTATTGGAATGAGGTTGCTAGACGTAATGCTATTTTATTGGAATGAGGTTGCTAGACTGGTGGTGTATTACCCGGGTGGTGAACTTAGGCTGTTAGGTTCCAATTAGAAGGCAAATTGGGAGATCAGTTGATAGGCAGAGAGGGATGCGATATCAGAGGTCGGATTCGAGGTTGCAGCAGGCTAGAGGTATGCAGCTCTTCATATGAGGCATACTCGGCAATTGTGCCAGCTCGGTGTTGAGTCCCCGCACTCCCCCCAGGCATTCCAGATTTTGGCAAGAAGGATCTATTGCTGTCGAGCTCGATACTCGGTCGACGAGAGCCACGCATCCCTCGTGCTTGAGGACTCACTCGTCGCCCTGACGATCTTGTCTGAAGATAAATCAGCGACACGGTTGATGGCCACAGTGGAATTCTTGCTAGTGGTGACATGGTATTTGTGCAAGGGGAGCATCAATGCAAATGAGAACGCATGTCTTTCCTCGAGAAACTTTCTTTGGAGGAAGGATTGAAGGGAACAATGGGTGCATGCCCTGGAATGATGGAGGCGCTCAACAATTTCATGCGCGACGAGAATCATCTTAAACTTGTTAAATGGGCAACCAAGACTTAGCTGGCACTCTGCTTGCTGTGAGAGAATGGACGTCGGTAAGTTATCTGCCCATGGTCATTTATAAAACAAAATGTATCTTCAATTATTAGGGGTTCATCGTATTTATTTTTTAATATTTGATTCGACAAGTGAAGTGTTGGTTTCCGAAGCCTTAAGCAATTCAATCACTTGATGTTGAGGTAGGCGCGGTGGCTTCACTCTTAGAAATGCTCCATGACAAGCAAGAGAGGGAGGGGGGCCGAGACCCGCGCTGGGGAAGGGAGAGAAGGAAGGGACCGAGACCCACGCCGGGACAGATTAGATTCTAAGAATGAATACCACCCTCATGGGATTTGAGTAATTTGTGTTTTACTGCCTCTTTAGCTCACACCTTTCTCTGACCTGGGGGGGGGGGGGGGGGGGGGTGTTTTCCAAAAAGGCGGGGGTCCCCGGGATTTTCCTGGGGGGGGGGGGG